ACGCTGAAATGACGCTGCTTTAGGGCCAGTGTGATAACGTCCTAAGAGCTGACTCTTCTTTTCTGAAGGCCTCCAAGCAAGGACTGAAGAGTGATCCATGTGGATGGTCTCGCTCAGGACTTTCTGCAATGAACAAGGGATTAGGATAGATAGGTTACAAATAATGCCCCTTAAATGTTTTGACTGTACAACCAGAACTACTGTAGTGTACTGGTTAGAGCATCTCTGGGTAAAATGCATCCTACAAGCCATATGTGCCCCCTCCCCAGCTGTTTTTGCGGTCTTTCAAATCCTCCAGAGGTCAAAAAAAATCTTTTCTTCCAAATGCCCCCCAACATGGGGATATTCCTGGCACATTTTGGAGGGCCCAAGGCCATTTTAAGCCCAGGAGAGGCCACTCAAACAGGGAGTGAATGGAAAGTGAAGATATAGCAAAGGAGAAGTAGAGAACCATGTCTTTTGTTGAAGAAAATGCAGGTTATAAAGAAAAATAAAATGAATAATCGACAAACTTCATAAATAAGTGAGCCCCATTCCTACTAAATTCCAAGCAAGTTGTTGAGGAAGCTGAGTTGCTTTGTTCATGAATTGTTGTTGTTGTTGTTGCTGGTGCTGGTGGTGCTGCTGCTGCTGTGTGCATTCAGGTCATTTCAAACTTATGGCTACCCTAAGGCAAACCTTTCATGGTATTTTCTTGGCAAGATTTGTTCAGAGGAGGTTTGTCATTGTCTTCCCCTGAGGCTGAGAGAGTGTGACTTGCCCAAGGACATCCTTAAATACCTTTAAATTCTTATAGGGTTGTGCAATCTAGCATTGAAGAGAGAGGCACATGTGTCCCTGTGCTTAACTGGTCAGATGTTCAATGCCCAGAGGAAAGCAAAAGATTCTGTTGCTAACCATCATTAGGATTACAGACACTAGCTAATTGATATCCATGGCATTTTGTGCAATCATCTTCCACATCCTATTCAGTTTAGCAGTTATCACAATACAACTGCCAAGCAAAAGGGGAAATTGCCCATTCCAACAAAAAAAAAAAAGTAATGGGTTGAGTATTGACAAAATGTAAAAACTTACTAACTAAGGATATCTGGATCTCATGTGACACACAGATAATTCAGTTGCACATTTATAGCATTTTAAAAAAAACTCATATACATCACTTGTGAATGTACTCAATATAAGACAGAAAGGATAAGTGAGCCATTTTGAAAGCAGCAGACTGGTTTTCTACAATCTAATATCTCTTCCCATTTTGGTCTATAGCTCCCCTCAACACTGACTGCTGTGTATTCCAATACAATCAATGAATTATAATAATAATAATAATAATAATAATAATAATAATAATAAT